TGCATTCAATTAATTAAGGTATTTCAATCGGTAAGGCACTGCAGTCGAACATTTTGAAAATAGCGTCATGTTCTGCAAAACTGTTCTATTGCAATAATTGTGGGTATTGAGATGGCAAAAACGTTTTCGATATTGCTTGTGTGACTTGACTTATAAAAAAATACACAATTTTGTGATATAACAGGACACTATCTTCTAAAGTGATATTGAATGGGTATTTCAAATTGGACTGGTAAGCCATTGTATTGAAAGGCTTTCAAATTTCACTCTCATTTATTGCTATACTAATGATTTTCATTTTTCTTTAAGGTGTGTGTATTGATGATGGTCAAATGAAACAGGCAAGTAAACTTGATTATAGTTAAGTGTTTTGTTGGTGGAGCCATGTTGAAAGATCTCTATTGTTTCCTTTTGTTCATTTCCACAATATGGACATTTAGTTTGTAGTATGTGCCAAATGCATTAATATGACAAGCTCGTGATGTGATTCAATTTTGGATTTAATGCAGACAGAAAATGCCTTTTTGCACCTGCTTTGCAGACCTGGTATTTGTATCGTTTCAGCATTTTGTGGCGAAAATTGTCGTCCTTGGCAACAATGATCATGCCCATCAGAATTGTTTGAACATCAGTATGCAATATGGCCCTTGCTTGGATTTTTTTGATGCTCCCTGCAGCTTTAATACAATTATTGTATTTTATATAGATGATGACTCCTCCAAGTCAGTTTATGATACCTCAGCCTGTATGTGCATCTCCACAACCAATACAACTACAGCAATATTCCAGTAGTCCAGCTGGTAATAATAGTATGGGTAATGTATCTCCAGCTCCTGTGATAATGGCGGCTAACAACTATGTACAACAACAGTCTATACCATCAGGTGTTCCTATGTATCCTGTCATCTTGCCCATTGTGGAAAATTTAACTGGTCCTGTTAATTATGGTATTAGTCCATCTCGTGATGCATATGGCTCAGATCTCCCCATGTCAGGTGAGTTACTGGAGACATCACCATTACCTATTCAAATAACTATGGTACCGTATTAGTCTATCTTCACTGAATTAGCATTTCAGGCATATTCAGTGGGTTAAATTCACGGTTTTATAATTTAGATAATGTTCTATGCCCAATTTGACATATTCACTGGGTCTTGATTTAGCACATTTTTCAATCAGCGAAATAAGAAAAATTTAAACCCAGTGAATAATTAACACTTTTACAGTATTCAAATCACCATGGTATTAATCCTTTTTGTGATACATATGGCTCTCAGAATCACCCCATGTCTGGTGAGTTACTGAGGACATCACCATTGTTTTATTCCTCTCAAGATGGCACTGTACATATCACGCTCAAAAGCTTTATCAAATATTTCTTATTGCATCTGATTCTGTTCTCTTCACAGATACCAATACTTTAAGATTTTTCTTCAACATGGGAGTGGAGGTAAGATTTATATCACCTTGCTAAGTTACGTAAAATCATATCACAATATATAAACTTCGAACTCATACTGTCGACCAAATTTTTAGTAACTGGCAAGTTCATAATCCAGACCTGACAAATTTCAATATCAATTTAATATACTATTCATGTGCATTTTTGTGACCTGTTGACAGTTGGCCATTTTGAATGTAAATAGGTCTTACAGCGGGCGCAAGATATTTACATACACACCCGGTAGGCAAATTACCGAGGGACTTTGCAACATCCCCAGGCACTTTCCTAGACACTCAAATGTCCGTTGTAGACGCATAAAGTTGCATACGTGACAGTTAATCAAAACAGCGGGCGTTTGGCCATGAGGAACAAGGAGTAGTTGGACTATTCCATTGCTTTGTAGATACAAAAAAACATTGCTGTGTTACACTTGAGAGAAATGTAATACGAACATTAAACTGAAAATAAATATTAATAAGAAATGATAAATCTAAATTCTTTCGATTGCTAGTTTGTCAAGATGTTGTCAATGGATTTATATTAATAATATTAGCGCGAGTGTCCCACTCAATTTCTCGCATAATGGCTGGTCCCATTGCCAGTTTCCAGAACACTCATCGGCCAGTCAATCTTTCCCTGGAATCTTCTACTTAGTTTCACCTTCACACCGTCACTATATACCAGTTTCGAATATCCTTAAGATGTCAGACAAAATAAGATAAACGATTTCAGTTGATGAAGGCCGCTACTCCTCTCGGGACGTATCCAACCGATGCAACAGAAATGCTGCACAATCCCTTGAACCGTTGCCCTCGTTAGTTTAACTTCCTCCATCATTGATCATTCGCAAGAGGCTAATAATCTCTATCTCAGTGTCTTCGTCTAAACGCCTTGACACGAGGATAATTTCATTATATGTTAGAGGCGTTCTTAAATATTTGTATCAGCTAGGTTTATTATTTTCGCCAAACATTCAAAATAGAATTTATTAAATGAACCAGCATATGTATGCATGAAATTATAAATTGTTCAATATCAAAACATAAGTAAAACATGATTGTTTGATGAATGTTTGACAGGACGCTTAGTCGCTTACACGTTGTAATAGTTGGCCCATCTGAAACCCTGGTCAGTTTGTTTTGAACTGTCACGTAGGTAACTTTATTGCGTCTACAACGGTCATTGGAACATTTAGCAAAGTGCCCTTGAGATGTTGCATAGTCCCTCAATAATTAACTACCTGGTCAGAAGTTAGGTGTAAGTAAATATCTTGCTCTCCACTACTGTTTCATGGAGTCTTCATGAAGATTTTTTTCAATAACAAAAAAATTTCCAAATTCTGTTAATATTGATTATCTTTTTATTTCATACTATCATGTACAAAATACTATTATCTAATGCAGTGTTTTTCAGCATATTCCTATTTTTACTTTCATTTATATGTATTTGCTAAGGTGTATACTTGCAAAATATGTCATTGAGTTGGTCATGTTGTTCCAATTGATCAGGAAAAGCTTGAGCTTTGAGCTACGAGGCTGGAAATGCTGATGGGAGGAGGAGGAGGGGGGGCACCATAAAAATATAATGGAATACAAGACAACTGTAAGATCATAAAATGTATGCTCTTTAATAAACATAATAACTTTTACTATGAGTTACAGCTAATTAAAAGGTGATTATGTACTTTTCAGTATTACCATCGATATATGCAGATTATACAAATGCAACAAGCTCAACAAAACGTGATGGCTTTTAACATGGGTGTGGTTCCACATGCTTCTCAACCAGCTGTCTTGGGAGCACCTCAACAGTCGACAAACATGGATGTACCTTGTAATTTAGGGAATGTAGAAGACAGACATTATGGCTCAGATGTTGCTTCATCATTAGATGATACTGAAGATCAAGAACAATTAAATGACGGTCAGTCAATACAGATAAACTCTTTCCCAACTGCTGATGGTTTTGATCCAAATTTCTCGCCCTGTCCAAGAGAACGTGCCAATTCCTTCCAATTTGATTTAAGTACTGGGCAAAACAGCCCAGTTCATGATCAGACGTATGCCTCTCCAAGTTGTGGCTATTCACAAAATGATAGATACAAGCAAAGGAGATATTCTGGTGGTGGTGGTGGTGGTAGTTTTAAGAATTCACCACCAAGGTTTAGACATCTTAGATCATCTCCATCCACCCAGACTAGGCACCAATTAGATAATGCTTCCTTTGCTACCTCACAGCAATATTCTGCTAATATGCATGATTTTACCAACCAATCGCAGCATGTTCCTCATAGACCTGCACGTAACTCATCTCCCCTCGCCCGACGCTCTGCACCTATTAATATTGCTAGCTCCTCTCCAAGAAACATCTCTGCTAACCCTTTGACATCCTCGCCATCCCATACAGGCCCCAGCATGCAATATTATGCAGATGGAAATACTAACCAGTCCAGTGCACCCACAGGTTCCTACTACAATGCTGGTAATCAGGGAGCTGCCAACAGCACAGAGCACTTCACTTCTTCACAGTCAGTATATGATAATCACCAAGTAAGCATGGCTAGTAATTATCAGTTTGCACCTCATCAATGGCAAGCCACTGCACAGCAAGCTAATAACAACGCTTATATTTATTCTGCCAATAACCCACAAAAAGCAGTGCATAATGTGTATGGCACTACCCCACCTTTTCCTAATACTTATACTACTCAGGCTCAGTACATAGCTCCTCAAATGGTTTCACAGACTGCACATGTTCATTATTCTTCTTAAATAGTCCATTGTAACTATCATCTGTGCTGTCGTGTTGCAATATATCACGTTTAGTTTACATGTCAGTCAAAAGGATTTTTTCTGATTTACAGTATGTATTTGTATTTAATATTTTGATGTTTACGATATATAATAACATGTTAAGTCTTTTTTCAACTCTTTGTCTTTATAACCAAAGAACATTATACCTGTTTTTGTTTTTTTTCAAGAATTTTGATTGTGCTGTGCCACATGACTATTATGTGTTGAGTGTGAAACTTAAGTCTTTGTCCAGCAAATAATGGAACATATTATGTACATATGTTAAATGACTTGTCTAATCATGATTGCTATGCATTCAATAGAAAACACTGTTGGTGCTTTGTTTTGTTATAAACTGGAAAAGAGCAGTGAAATTGATAAAAGTAATTTATTTTTGATATTGTTAAGAAACAATTTAAATAATTAGGTTGTATGATTATTCATCATGTTTACGATGAAATTATTTCATTCAAATAAAACATTTGAATATGTCATTGTATTTCATTCATAAATGAATTGTGCTTATTTTTGCTTACTATTCAGTGTTGATCTATTTTTTAGATCTTTAAATGCATTGCTGCAGATGTTGCACTGACAATGATAGTTTAGTATAGTAATTTGTTATGTTGGAAATTCCTATAAATTAACAATTAATTGTGGAAAAGAAGAATGACAGCAAACTTGATGAACTACAATCGTAATCTTTGGCAACTTGAAACAAGTCCGAGAAAAGCATTAATTTTCACCAGCATTTAATTTCACTATTTCAGTATTTGATCAAATTCACTAGGTTTTAAATTCACATTTTCATGCATCAATGAGTTTTATTGTAATTTTACGTGTTAACGTGGATTTTATTTTGCGAATTCCGGTGAAAATGGTGAAATAAAGCTTGGCGAGTAATTAATGTTTGCAGTTTATCTGTGGCTGCTTTATGAACTACAAGTAATACTTGATTAGCGCGATTTGGAAATTGCCATGCGGATGTCAATAAAAGAACATTAATATATTTGAGTTGAATAGTGTGTCTTGAGTGGGTTTACCACAATGAATTGTTAATAAAATAGATTACTGTATCTACTGATGTGATTTTAGACATATTTTTACATTTACAATAAAGATAAGAATGTCTATATTTTGTTACTCGTCTCTATTACCGAAATGCACTGCTCTTCAGTGTTAATAACTCAACTCGTTTCATTAACCTTTTGAATGCTTACATTGATTATCGCCAGTTTCATAATAACCTGCACAATTTACAGACTTTTTTTCATACACAACTGTTATGATCAAGACCTGTTGCTGATAAAAAAAAATCTATTGGGTGCACATTTCAGAAAACTGCGCTACAATGTTTTGGTTTTCAAAAGGTTAAATTTAAGTCTATTGCAATAAAGGTGAGTGGTAATGAGAAACCAAATAACATTCAGTTATAGGAATCATTTGAATATTCGTGAGTAATCGGTAAATGTTCACTATTTAACGATTGTGCAAAATTCATTGACAAGCGAAATCTTGAGGAAAATTTAAGTGATTTACTCTACATTGTATGATTAAGAGTGGATAAGAAGGGTATGCAATGGTTGTGACATGTGCTGATTGATGCTCATTTCAGGAAAAATCATAAAAGAAACAGTTGCTAAATGCAAATTAGTCTTGAAAAGAAATTGGAATTGTAGTTTTCTCAGTTTGGCATATTCTTGTGCTCTTGCATATTTGTGCAAGCGTTTGTGTTCTGGTGTCTTGAATGGAATTGTATATTTAATAACCTTCCTCTGCAATCAAACCTTTTAAAACGATACAGGTGGGGGGCAATTTTAATGGAATCCTTCATCCCACATCATAAAAGTTGCATTCCTTCATTTTTGCATCATATGATGCATTTTTCATATGTGTTGTCTTTGTTGTCTCATGTAAGCCAGGGTAATAATAACACAAGTAGATGTAGCATATCGGTAATGTATACGTTGTTCAAATCAGACAAATTTGGAAACTGATTTTTTGCCAGAAATACTTTCAGGGGGGAAACAAGACGAACCTGCCAGCTAGCTAGCTGTCAAACCTTGCCCAGAAATCAACTGTTTTTTGGGGTTCTGCAAACCTCTCGTGTGGCGTTTCATGATCACCACATACTGGTATTTCATGCTTGCTGTGTACTGGTTTTATATTCAAGCTAATTGGAGAAGCTCAATTTTAATCCCTGCAGAACAAAATAAAATAATACGTGCGATTTACAGCTGTATTCAGTCGGTTAGCAAGGTGGCTTGCAAATTTGTGAAACACTGTCTTTGATCTGTTCTAGACTTGGCAGCATCGTTTAACTGAAGGCATGCTGTGTGGGATTCAGTTTCATGGGGTGATCAAGATTTAGTGACGTAATCTATACTATTATTATACATCTGTCACCGTAACGCCATAAGTATGGGCTGTGTACCTGAAATAAAGAAATAATAAGTTACAGCGTGCCGTAATTTTGCAGTATTTTATGGGCTATTTTCATCTTACCATATTAGGAAATGCGAATTCCAAATATGAAATGATTATGCGTCCTCCAATAAAAACAAACATGGCTGCCACCACGGTTTGACTGGAGAAGTTCGCTGATTCTGTTCTAGACTTTTCAGATTTCGGCATTCCCATGATATCTTTGGAAGGAAAAGATGTATAATAATAAGGTTATTACGAAGACACCTGAAAGTATGCACTCAAACAGTACGCTGCGCATCGGTCGATATTGCCGCTGTACTGTCTTCGTGCATACTTTCAGGTATCTTCGTAATAACCTTGTATTCTTTTATTGTAAATCTAGATTGTATGCAATTAGATAAAAATTACTGCGAGTGAAATCAACTCAACAAGCAGTATTGCAATATAATCACCATTTTGCCAAGTGGCAGTATTGATATCAGCTGTTAAATATTGCTATCTTGTTTGGGTTGCTTTTTCGTTCACAGTAAAAGTGTTTATTATAATAGAAAGATCTAAAGTGCACGTGTGTAAAAATGAAAAGATGTCTAGATTTGACAAATGCCAGTGTTTTGCCAAATTTCAAGCTATGTTACTGGCAGAATAATTCGTAGAACTGCTGTAAACAAACTGCTGGGATATTAACATGAATTGAATTCCAAATAAAAAAATGTTCTCCATGACGCAAAATTGATTTTGAAATGTTAATTAGCTTGGTTGAGTGCCTGTACATCTCATAATCAATACAAATACAGTGAATTCCTGAGCTCGGCTTAAGTTTGTATTACTGTAGAATACTTTATTTTCGCTTGGAATTTATTTTCGCTGAAGGGATGATTCCGTGATAATAAAATCCGGTGAATATACATTTTTTCCTATATTTTACATTAATCTCGTCAAACATCAGTGAAAATAAATTCCAAGCAAAACGCCCAAAAAGCCTTTTCAGCGAAAATAAATTCCAGTGAAAATAAAGTATTCCACAGTACATTATAAAATTCCTTGTTTATTCAATAAAACAATATTACTACTTGAAGTTTGTTTGCACAAGTTTATTTAAATTTGGTTGTGCTGGACTTCCAATATGTAAAGCAAGTACAATGTAAGCTAATTGTGGGCCATTTACCCCCAAAAAATGGCATTTCATTTGAGATTAAGACTTCCACTGAAGCTTCATCAGCTCTACAATTCGCATCTAATGATTGGATAGGCATACATGTACAAACTATTTCATTGTATACCTTGCACGAGGGGAAGCAATTGAGCAGGTAGTTTTCAACACCAAATTTCAGTGGTGCATGGACACATTCTGTTCAATTATCTCAAGAATCCTGCATGATTGGTCAATGGGCAGAATATGCGAAAGACAGCATCAGTTGCCAAACTGCTTTGAAAATCGAACGAATTTCAGAAAAAACTCCTTTGTGTATTTGAGACATATTAAAATTAAAGATTTGCTTTACAAACTAGAAGCTTGACAACTAATTTTTGTCTATTTGAGATGCATAACATTATCGAAATTTATAATACACACAGAAAATACATTTGATTAATTCCAGAGCACCTCTGCGATGAATTAAATTTTTTTTTTCGATATCAGAAATGGGCTAATAATGAATTATACATAGATTTAGGTCTGTATATTGTTTCAGGGTGCAGGTATTCTAAGTAAATTATTATGCATATAGAAACCTAAAACTAATTTGATCATCACGTTGTGTTAGAGTACACATGTACCAAGATTCATTATGCACAGATTTCAAGCCAAAACTAATCTGGTCTGTGCATTGTCATAGAACATCTATGTACCAAGAATCATTGAAATGGTATAAAAACTAACTAATGCAAATCGATGTTTCATACCTGATAGTGGTAAAGCTGAAAATTGACGAATTATATGCATGCATTATCAGTGGAACTGCAAAGACTCACTGTGCTTCACACACGCGAGTCATAGTTCCGGGACAATAACCATTTATATTCTGGCCCTCAATGTTACACCTGCCCTACCCCGGATATAGACAATATCCGTAAACCATGGCAAGAGACTCAAGACTGATAGTTTACATTTTCACCTGCAGCAATGGTAAAATGCCTTTATTTCATATTTAACAAAGATTAGGTAATTGCACCAAGGAAGTACAAAAGTATACAATATTCAAATAACTTTTCAATAAACTACCAACAAAACGTATCACTTCACAAATTGATAGAGTGCAACATAAATTGACAACTTTGTCACACCAGAATACAATATAGAGGATTTGACAATTGTATCATGAATAATTACGACATGACAACCAGGTCACACCAGAATGCAATATATTAAAAATCGTATCACACAAGATAGCACTAGATAAATTGACAATGTGTCATGCCCACTCAACATCGGACGGACATCTATTAGTCATCTAGACAAAACACAGGTACTGGTAGCTACTGTAAAATACTTTATTTTAGCTGGAATTAATGTTCGCTGAATGAAATTTATTTTTCACTGATTTTTGACGAGTTGAATGTAAAATATAGGGAAAAAGGTATATTCACTTGATTTCATTTTCACTGAATCATTCTTTCATCGAAAATTAATACCAAGCGAAAATAATGTGTTCTACAGTAATTTAATTATTTTTTGAACATCCATCAGGAACATATTGTTGTACAGTAACCTGGATGTTCCATAGTAAAGAAAAGTTTGCTTTAACAAAGCAACAAGCACTTGTCCTAAAACATGTGTATATACAAATTCCATCGCATTTCATGATCACATACTATTTTCTTTACATATTGTTAAACAATTTTTGTTTTAATAAGGAGCAATGGTAGTTGAAGAAAATGGACTTGAAAATTTCTCATGTTAACTGCTGTAAGGAACGTATACAATTATCTGTAAAACAAAACAGGAGCCTTTCTAAAATTTTACCCTGTTTAACACTCTGAACCAATAGAAAAAAAACTGAAACCCTTGTTTCCATGGTCTGGCTACTCCTTCTGAAACCAATCCAGCAAAAGAAAAAACTTCCTCCACACATCCTGCTGTCATATCTATGGATGTTAGAAAGTTTTAACAGACCATTGAAAGATCAGTGGAGCACTGAAGAAATATTCATTGTCTGATTTTAACTTGCAGGAATAATCATAATCCCGTATTCAATTTGAATGTGAATGTAAAACCCATCTAATTTTTACTGTGAATGAAAAAGCAACCCAATCACCAGTGTTACAATGTAGCTCAGTTTGGAAATATCAATATTGATAATTAAAATATAACATTTTGTAATGGTATCAATAGTGCTATTGTAAAATCTGTATTAAAAGCCATGACTTCTATTAAAAATGGTACAGTAAAATGACTAAATTTCGCTGATTTTGCATTTTAAGCATATTTAAATTCACGGTTTTATCATTTAGATAATGTGTTCTGTGCTAAATTTTACATATTCACTGGGTTTTAATTTAGTGCATTTTCAAGTAAGCGAAATTAAAACCCAGTTAATAATTAACCCTTTTACAGTATATTGCAACAGAGGGGATACAATCTACACACATGAGAAATGATTAGTTTTCAGTTGTCAATTGTTCAAAAAGAATGGGTGTGACCTCTATTAGGAATGCAGCTTCTAATGCAGATTTTGTTAGAAAACCACGAGGAATATTGCTGGTTAGGTTGATTTTTTTTCTAATCCTTTTATGGTAGTTTGGTTTACATAAATATAACAAAATATTCAATAAGAAATAAGACTATGCTGTTAAGTTCAACGCTAAGAGTTTTAAGTCAACAGCAATGACAGTTCTACAGTATGGATACCTTAGATACCATAGAATAAAATGTAAGTGAGAAACATAACCCACATATAGAATTATATGGAAGTAAAAACTGTTGATAAGAACAGCATGCTAAGATAAATATACCACCTTTGAGTCAAACAACTATTTCAACAATATAATGACTGTAACCAGAGGTACATTACTTGGGGTTTACAACTACGGTGACATGATACCAAGATCCCGTTTCAATCTCGCTCTCGCATAAGCATTCCAACTCAGAAAAATGCGAATGCGCATGCCCGAGGTAACTAGGATACTGGAACGTCCAGGTGGACCAAAATAGCTGCTCACGATATGACGGATTACGATAACTTTATTTTCTGTACATTTTCGATGTATTAATTTTTTTCACTATGAATGTGGTAATACATGTTTTATTGATTATTACAAACCGCCTATTTCATGTTTGAAGGTCGTAGCATCAGTCTCGCTATCTACGAGATGAGACTTGAATGGGATCTTGACATGATGTCACCATACAGTACTATGCGTGTTGCAAACCCCAAGTAATGTACCTCTGCTGTACATATGCAAATAAAAAAATTAAAATTATTTTGGGTGGGAAGAGATTAGGTTCAGTTACCATTTAGTAGACCTAATATATACTTAATAGGTAAAATAACTGACTGCAACAAGCATAACATTATATGGATGTTATTCAATGATAATATCTTCAGTTTGTTGTGGAGGTTGTCTTGGTTGCGGCGGCGGCGGCGGCTGCTGCTGTGGTACAAGTATGGTGTATCCAGGATTTGACTGTCTCTGCGAGGTTAAAGTATCCCGTACTGTTGCCAGACGACTTTGATGATTAATTACTTGTTGCAGCATGTTTCGAGCTGAAGATGAAGCAGCAGCACCACCTTGCTGCGGAAGCCCCGACAAATGTTGTACCAATCTCATGTGAGATGTTGCCTGACAACAAACAATACATATAATTCTATCACCACATAATATAAAATTATTTTGTTTATGATAAAAAAAAAGATGCTTGATTCTAGTTTACTACAAGCACACATCAATCATAAGTTGCATTCATTGTAATAATGTGTCGCTCAAATATCAGTTTGGCCATATACATAATACTAGACCTTTTTTTTAGCTCCGCTGTCGTGATGATATCTTCAATTATCTAATTTTGATGGATATTTTCTAATTCTTGTTCGATTGCTTTGATACTATACATATTGTTCATTTTCTAATGATATCTTCAGTTCTATAATTGAAATGTGCATTGCTAACAGCGGAGCTATCTCAGCCAACAGGCTGCTTGTTTTTTCTTTTTTCCAGTTCCTTATTTCACCAAAATATAAACCGCGTAAACCTCTAGTCACTCACATTACTGTGTTCATGATAGCCAGTTTAAGTTCCTAGGCAATTTTCAAAAGACAAGGTTTCTAATGCTGCAATTTATTTAAGGTAGAGATGCAGTTTACCTGACAGGTATTTTAATTAGTTAATTAGGAAAACAAGATGACCTCCCTTGTCCACAAAACTATATATTTTCGGAAAGCTTATTGTATGAATTTTAAAATTTTGTAAGTATTTTTTTTTTCATGGACACTGCAGTTTGAAATTTCACTACTTCAAGTTTATGCATAAATTAACACCCAGGCTAGTTGTCTGTATGATTGTTGTAACACTGTTCAAGCAAAAACAATGCCCCGACTGCGTTTTGAAGATAAACACATTGTCAATCATTTGTGAAAATTTCAAAACAAAAGGTTGAAGCGTCTAAGAGCTATTTTTTTTAAAGTTCTGGGATGTGCACTGAAAAGCAGCTGAGATAATTGCTAATTTGCATAACCATTCACTCAGTAAGAAGTTTGCTAATACTCATAATTAAAATGGCTGTAACAGTTCCAAATTTAAACCTATTATCGTTTTGTTAAAAGTTAAATATAGTGCATAATATGGAGATTCCGTCATTTCTTTTTTTACCATGTTTCTTTTTTATTACTTATGTACAGCCTTGCTAAATCTTGCTAAGCATTCAAAAGAGAGAATGTTTGTACTTGTTATATATATTTTAAAATCATCTTGAGTATGTTCCACTATTCAAAATTCTACAAAATTTTAATAGTAACAATTTTAATAGCCTAGACTGTTTGGATAATAAAAAGCAAAAAAAAAAAAATTTCACTCCCAAGTGCCCATGAATCAGCATCTCTACCTTTAGCTACTAACAGGCAGCATTTTACAAGACAAGTGCTAATCTTGACTCGCTCTTCATACTTACTCGGTATTGTTGTACATAACCAGGCTGAGGAACTGTCTGTTGTAGAATCTTTTCTCCACTGTGTAACAACTGTGATCCGTTTGTCAGTAAACGCTGTAACAGTGATATTGGAACATTAACACACCAGCAAGGCTTTCATATGCAAACATTGTAGGTTTATTTGCTTGCAGGCATTACAGAAAGGGTCAGGGAAGTATACAACTATACTAACATGGCTGGGCTTTTTCAGCTATCAGATATTAACATATAGATTCAATAAATTTAGGCAACATAAATTTACATTTGGTACGCGCGTTGGCATGAAACTAGATTTTATTGTTTGATTTGCAGCAACAATCACATATTTTAGAATTAAACAGTAGCCTAATAGTTGCATTTCCAGTACAGCGCTTCTCCCAGATGCTTCCTAACACCTATAGAAGAATTTGAATAGGTCGTCTAAGCTGAAACAGCTCAACATACAGAAGAAGAACAGAAATACTGGGAGACTGCAAGTAATGTTTGAAAATTCTAAGGCCACCTTGCCCCTCGATTATGAAGGAATTTCTTTGATTTTCACAAGGTATTATTGTACCAATTTAATT